GGGCCCAGGCTTCCCAGCGCCGCCCGCCCAGGGCCCAGGCTTGGCTGGTGGCCACTCCAGTGGAGTAATGCTGCCCAACCTGAGCAGATCTGGTGGGGCTAGGGCCCAGGAGGCGGCTTGGCAGTGCTTGGCAGGCCTGCTGGGGGGCGATGGGGGAGTGGCTGGGTCGGGGAGGAGGGGGGAGAGGGAGAAGAGAGCCCATCTTGCCGGTTGACTGTTTCAGAGAATGGCTCCCTTGCCTGAGCGGTGGCCTTAAGTCATGGACACTTCGGGCCTTTTCTTCTCTGGATTTCACACTCCCAGGCCCCACGGAGGGGTGCCTGGGATGAGCATCTGTGCCAGAGGGAGGGATCCTGGGAGTCCATAGTAAGCAACCAGCTCCGGGGAGGCGCAGGGGGAGGACAGGCACAGGACCGGGGTGGGAGGGGGCTGGGGTGGGGGGTGAAGAGGCAAGGGGCTGGAAGTCAGAAGACCTGGGCGAGGGCCAGTCCTGGTGAACTCTCCCCGTGACTGTGGGCAGTGCCTGCTGCCCCTCTATGGGCCTCAGTTTTCCCAACCATCCAAAGAGGGGGCTGGACTGGAAGGTCTCTAAACGCCCTAAAGGCTTGAAAGATTCCATTCTCTTTTCTGAATCTGCCCAGGGGGAGGCCTTGGGGGCTGGGGCACCAGCAGGGGCTGAGAATTCCATAGCAATTTGCATGTGAAAGCATGTTACTGCCATGGCTATTAGGGTGTGCAGGGCTACTGAAGACAGGGCAAGGACAGCGAAGTGTCAGGCTGCACCAGAAAGGCCCAGGCAGCCTTGCGGTGGGGGTGGGGGTGCCCTGAGGTGTGCACGGGAGATGGACTGCCTCTTTAGGGCTCCGCTCACCCTCGACATGCCCAATCCAGGATCTGGGCCACCAACCAGAGGTCTGGTCCCTAGGGATGCCACCTCCCCCCACTCCCTGCTACGGGAGAGGGGCCCTCCAGGGAGGGGGTGGGGTGGGTGGACGGCTAGTGCATTGGCAAAATCTCCTCCAAACCAGATCTAAGCCTCCCAGTACCGTATTCTTGGGATCACAATGCATCTGTCTGGTAAGTTGTCTTGTGTAAACTTATACCATTTGTCAATATAAATATTGGGTATATGTAGGTTTGTTTGGTTCATTTATACAACACACACATACACACACACACACACACACACATTCTCTGTCCCCGCCCTCCCCTTCCCCCAAGCCAGTGGGCAAGAAGCATTAAGAGCTCCAGCCTGTGAAGCAACAAACCTGGTTCCTAGGCCTGGGGGCAGCCAGCCCGGCTGCCAGCCAGCCGGTGTCCCTGAGAGCAAGAGCCGTGTCCAGTGGAAGCCAAGGACTATGAAGACTCTGGGGCAAGGGTGGCTCGTGGGCTCTCCCTTGGCTTCTCCTGGTCCCCAGGAGCTGGAGGGGCCACATGGAGCACCCCCTAGGGGTCTGGCCAGAGAAAGAGGGGGCAGAATCCTCACTGAAGCCAGCCCCACACACCGCCTGCAGGGAGACTGGGAGACATCAGCCATGGGACCACAGGGACAGGCAAGGGCCAAGGAGTTTATCATGAGTCCATTTTGCCCAGGTCCCTGGGCTGGCGGCTGGGAATGATGGGAACAACTAGGTCTTGGGGTCCACTTTCAAAAAACAGGAAGAGTCCCCAGGAAGGCCAGCTCTAGAGCCAAGCTATCCACCCTCTACCTCATGGGAGAAACAATGACTACCGCTGATTAGCACTTAGCACATGCCAGGCAGTCAATATTTATGGGGGGCAAAAAAAAAAAAAATCGAAAGACTAATGTTAGAGCCCAAGTTTTAAAATCTGCATGTCCTCCATTCTGCCTCTCACATTCCCACCACCCTGTGATCACACAAGCAGTGTCAGGAGATAACCCAAGTACTTCCAGACCTTTCTAGAACATGAGGTCTCTGGGAGCAGGGACCTTGTCTATCCTGTTCATCACTGGACTGCCGTGCCCAGACCACTGACAGCATAGAGTAGGTGCTCAGCAAATAGTTCTCAAGTGAGTAAAACTAGCACTGTCCCCTCATTACCCAGACAAGGAAATTAAGGCCCTGCCTGGTCCAGTCCTAAAGGCTGTCATGGTAAGGCAGCCGCAGGCCCCCTGGATGAAAAGGCCCCACGGCCAGCTCCTCCCACCTCCCCATATCCCTTCACAAGTTCCCCATCTCCCCACCCCCCACTCCGGCTTGCCTCCTGCCCTTTCTCTTTACCAGCTGGATAATTGATAATTAACTGTTGGAAACAGAACTTAGAATTACTGCCTCCCGCCGGCCCTTGCATTGCTTTCCTTTTGAGCTCTGTGGCCCCTGTCCTGGGTCGGGGGTTGATCTTGGCCTCAGCAGACTCCCCAAAGCTGGGGGGCCAACCTACGAGGCACCAGCTGGGGCCCTAGCACCCCTCCCCCTCCCACACCAGATCCCACAGCCAGCTGTACAGGAGGCTGCAACAGATGGGCAAGGAGGGTCCCCAGGCAGCCTGGGGCTGACTCAGCTGGGGTGACAGTGGGGCTGTGACGCTCCCAGGCAGGACAGGAGGCCAAGGCAGGCAGGCAGGCAGGCAGGCCGGGTTTCCGAGTGATAGATGCCAGGTGGCCAGAGGGCCGCTTGCTCAGCAGGACCCAACCCAGGACGTCTCCAGTTGGGCCTGGGTCTCCCCTTGAGTCCTTGCACCTTGGTTTCACACCTGCGCCTACAGGGTGCTAGGCCCTTCACATCCCTAGCGGTGCCTCTTGGAAATTTAAAACTGACCAGTGCAATAAAATCAGTAGAGCCTGGGTCTTCCGGCTCTGCAAGGCCTGTCTCTTTAGGGAAACTGAGGCCTGGTTAGCACTTGCCTAGTTTGTCTTCACTGGGGAACTGGGCTCAGCCTGTGAGGAAGCCAAGTAGCCCCACCTGGGAAGCATCCTCTATCCCTGACTCACAGCTGGGACAGGAAGGAGAGTGAAGGGTGGGGCAGGTCCTACCACTGCAGGCTCACACCTCCTGCCTCCAGCTAGCTCAGTCCCTCCCTGCCCCAGACAGAAGGGAAGGGAGTGGGGGTGGGGAGGTGAGGAGGGGCTCCTGTTCTTCAAGACCCCCAAGGAAGAAGCAGGCTGGCTCACTCTCACCTGAGACAGAGGCAAGCACGGGGATTGGGGGAGGGGGTGGGGGGAAGGGGAGTCACACCCCTCGCTCTCAAGGAACTTCTCACATCTGCTCCTGGGATGATGGAAGGCCTGGGTGTGCATCCTGACGCTGCCATGTACCTGATGTGTGTTCTTGGGCAACATACAGCCCTCTGCAGGGTCTCTGCTTCCTCATTTCAAACAGGAAGCAAATCATTCCCCACCTACCATCCTCACAGGGCAGTTGATGAGACCCAGTGAGCTCCAACCTGTCAGGGTGTTTGAAAGCAGTGGCAGGCGCTGGCTGGGTGAGGACAGACAGTGCACTACAAAGAGCTCCAGGCAGCCCCCGCCATGGCACCCGTGCCAGGGCAAGCAGAAACAGCCAGCATGAACCTGGGCTGCCCCATCTCTTCCTTGGCCCTCTCCCTCTGGTTTTACTTTACATTCCCACAGCGGACTCCCCAGGAACTCTAGCACCCACCTGCAGGTAGTCTGGGCTAGGCAGGGCCCACCAAGAGGCCACTCCATTGGAGAAGGGTGGGGAGGGCTCAGGCTCTACAGCCAGTGAGAGACACCAACCTAGCCTGAACCAGCCCTGGTTAGAGACCCCCAGTCTGGGCGGGGCATGGTGGGAGGGGGGCAGGCACTCCAGGCAGGCAGTCAAGCAGCCAAGGCTCCATCTGATCCAGGCACTTCCTTTGGTTAATGAAAAACCAAATAAACAGCCTCTGCCCCAGCTGGCTCCGGGAGCACCCCAGGCCAGCCCAACCTCCCAGCCCGCCTCGCCACAGGTCCTGTGGCTCTCCTCTCGCTTCCTTCTCCATGGGTTCCCCATTCCCCTCCAAGAGCCTTGAGTGCTCCTTGGCTGGTTAACTGGGGCTTCCTTCTCTGGCTCACTAGCTCACCCTCCCCTTCCTTCCTCCTCCTCCTCCTCCTTTCTTCTATTGCCTTCTCACCCATTTTTAGCTGCTGGGTTCTCACTTGTCCTCCTCCTCTGACATCTGTCTTAGCCATCTCCACAGGGAGTCCCCCCACAAGATTCACAGGCCACTCCAGGCTGGAGCAGGATGGCCCCAGGCACTGCCAACCTGCATTTCTGCTGTGGGATGAAGGCCAAACCCTCTTGGGGGGCCCTCGCCACACTCCCTGACCTGAGCAAGTTACTCATCAGCCTGTGCGGGGGATACCAGGTGCTCCGGGCTGCGATGGCCAACTAGAAGCCCCCAGAGTATGCCCTGGTGGTGGTGGTGGCTCTGATGTGGGCCAGCTCTGAAGACAGGAGAAAAAGGAGGATTCTTTTGGCTGAGAGGTGAGCTGGGCCAGCTGCTGCCACCACAGTCAGTACCCAGTGGGCCACAGCTGTGGCTCAGCTCTTGGGAACTTCTTTCTAGCCACCTCCAGGCAGGTGGTGGCGGTACTCTGCAGACACACCCAGGTCCCCATGGAAACACCCCTTCCCCCATCAATCCTCTCTAGCTGAGCCCGATGCCAGATTGGGCAGATGCCCGCAGCCTATGCCTCAGAGGTAGCAGAATGGCCTGGGGAGGAGGGGGAACACAGTCCCAGGCTCTGTGACAGCCAAAGGAGAGAGCAGAGAAGGCTGGGGGGAGGGGGAGGGGGACGGGGAGCAGGAGGGACGGCCCCCACTACCCTCCTCTCATTGCAGCCGCCATCACCGGTGGTTTGGCTGTGGGAAATCTCACAGGCGTGCACGTTCGGGCATGCGCACACATACGCTCGCACACATGCACATACTCTCGTGTTCGTTCCCCGACATCACGACACCATTTTACACTCATTTTCTCCATGTGGTTAATTTTTTTTTTAGTTCTCATTTTTTTTCTAAGAAAAAAGCAACAAGAAAATAATTCAGAGTTTATACAAAACATCTTTACATTATTTTTTTTCCAAAAAGACTAGTATTTACACAAATGGCAACAGAAACAAAAACAAAAACAAAAAAACAAAAACAAAAAAAAACAAAAAACAACCCTTCCAGCTGCCACCTGGAAGGGGCTGGCTGTTCTGCTCCCTCTCCCACCTGGCACCGGGGTGGGCACCCAGCCAGGAGGCAGTGTGGAGGTGGATGGCATAAGGCCCAGCTCCTTCCGTGGCCGCTCTGGGAGTGCCCGCAAGGCGCTTTCAAGTGGCAGTCTGTTAGCAGCCCTGCTGGCAAGGAGCCGGGGTCAAAGTGCACGGCGGGCTGACCCAATCCCAGGCAGCCTCTGCCTCTTTCCAGGCCCCAATGCGAGACTAGGGGGCCAGCCAGCGGGGGCCGAGTGGGGTGGGGGAGCATCCACCTGTGCTGAAGCCCAGAAAAGGAGCAGGCCACCTGGCCTTATACCCGCTTACGTCTCCACCCTGGGCCTCTGTTTCCCCACCAGACCAAACGATGCCAAGGTATGGAGAGAACAGGGCGGGGGGTGGGGGTGGGGTGGGGGGAAACTCCTAGCTCTGCAGGGCAAATAGCCACCTGGGCACCTCACCTCCCTCCACCCCCCATGAGGTCATCTGCCTGTAGCAGCTCTCCTGTTCCCCGGGCAACAGCCAATTAAGACATTAATTACCGTGAGAGTGAGGGAGGCAGGAGATGCCCAAGAATCTCACAAGGAAGGGATCTCTTTTTTTTTTTTTAGGTGGAAGGGTGGCAGCCAGTACCCTATTGCCAGGATCAGCTTTGTAGAAGGAGGTTCAGGAGGGGAGGATGGGACACCTTGCCCAATGGCACGCTCCTCTTCCTTCACGGGCATCAACAGCCCCGGCCTGCCCTCCACCCCCAACACTGAAAGACCAAGAAGTCTATAAAAGAAATGCCATCCTATGCTTCCTGGCTGGCTAGCTCCTGCCCCAGGCCTTCTTATACTGGGTCAGGCCAGGCTCAGAAAGCCTGGGGAGGGGCTGCCTTTTCCATTTTTCCATTTTTCTTCATAAAAAATAAAAAAAACAGATGAAAATGAGTTGACAGCTAAAAAAAAATGAACACAAAAGCATTAAAAACAGTGATGATAGTGGACGAGCAGTCCTGGGGAGGGGGGGGAAGGGAGCGAGGGAGGGGCAGGACCAGGGGGCCGCCTCCCTGCCTGCTGTCCGTCAGCGTCCGTCCCTGCCTCCAAGAAGGGGCGCCCCCACAGAGCCCAGAGGCCTGGCCAGAGGGGGAAGGCACGAGAGCATGGGGATTGGGGGCACAAGCACCCCCCTCCGAAGCCCAGGGGGCAGGGGGAAAAAAAGGGAGTGGGAGATTACAAAAGCCAAGAAACTACAAAACTAAATACAAACGTGGGCACAGCTGGCAAGGGGAGGGGCCGCGGGAGAGAAGGGAGAGGTCCCGTCCAGGCCGACTGTCCCTCCGGGCTCCAAGGCCGCAAGGGCCGTCTCAGACCTTGTAGTAGATGTTCGCCGGACTCTGCGGAGGCATCTCCTGGACGATGTAGACGGGGTGCCCGTAGTCCCCACTCACCTTCTCATAGTGGGGACAGTAGTTGTTCTCTGTAGTCCGTAAGGGGATGATGATGTCGCTGGGTTCCGTGCCCGCCGTGCCGCTGCCCCCCTTGGGGCTGGCCAGGGTGCTGAGCGAGAGCGCAGCCGCCCGCTGCTGCGTGTGCTTGCGGTGCCGCTTGCGTAGCTTCAGTAGCAGAACCGTCAGGAAGATGATGATGAGCAGGAAGATGACGCAGCCCGCTCCGACGGCTGCGAACAGTGCCACCTTGGAGTTGAAGAAGCTGTCGGGGTCGCTGCCGCCGCCGCCGCCGCCCCCACTTGCTCCCGGGCCGCTCTTCTCTTCCTGGTTCACAGTCTCTGAAGGGAAAGGAGGGAAGGGACGGTGAGCCAGGGGACAGACGATGAGCCAGCCAACACCAATGCCAGACAATGCCACTTAGGACAGGGAAAGAGGCCATCGGGGCCCCGGTGCTGTCCCGACGAGCCAGGGCCAAATGGCCAATCTCAGGCGGGGGCCCAACTTGGGGCTGAACTTCAGATGTGAGGCCCAAGAGGATGACGGCGCAGCGGCCCCTGCCCTCTGGGAAACACGTCGTTGGCACTCACCGTGTTTGCCGTCAGAGTCACCCAGGCGGCCCCGACCAGGAGCATGGGTGGCTGTCTTGACAGTGTTGTCTGCCTCCTTGCTGGGCCGGCTGGTGGTCAGCTGCTCAGGTGTCACAGCATTGGGATCTGAGGGCCAGAGACAGCATGGGTGAGAGGCAGGGAGACCCTTGCCAGCATAGGTGTCTACGATCATCAACACAAGGCTGAGAACGGCCTGGATGCCGAACCTCCATGCACTTGAACCCTCTCGCCCTGTCCTATGCTCCCAACACCCACACTCGCTCAGGAACATCAGTTCCCAAGGCCGACATCCAGGGCCCTTGAACCAGGCACTCACCTTGCCCAACCTTCATGACGATCTTCATGGTGCGGGTACGGCACACACCTCCCTCGCGGTTCTCCAGCCCCTCGAGGCTGCCATTGGATGTTGCTGCAGGAAGAGACCAGAGAAGTCAGGGGGAGGGTCAGGAAGAGAGAAATGTCTGCTGGCATTACCCACAAACCCCAGTGCCACCAAGAGGGATGGAATTGGGAGTCAGGTGTGGAACGCAGCCCCTCACCTCGCTGGGACCTTTCTTCTTCCCTCCTCCCCACTGGTGAGAGTAACCCAGATGGCCCAGCCCAAGCCCCGACCCCAGGGACATTGCTCGTCTCTCATGACCGAGCCCTGGCACCTCTTGTCTCAGGGGCAACCCCTAAGGTATGCCAGCTTACTGGGAGACAGTAGTCAGAGGCAAAGAAATTTGACCTGGTACAGTGTGGGAGCATTCTACACAGACTAGAAGGAATTGTAGATTTGGGGTCAGGAGAACTGGGCTGCAGGCCCAATGCTAGCCCTGACTCCTGGATCCAGGGCAAGAAGCCTTTTCACCTCTTCGTGGGCCTCAGTTTTCCCTAAAGAAAAGCTTAACAGCTGGCCGAGCCTCCAGGGCTCTGCCAACCCAGCCACTGCCAAGACTAGATCTTGAGCAGGCAAAGCAAAGCAGAGAAGCAGCCACATGGATCAGAGGCTGCTCCCACCCAACCCCTGGAGCCAACAAGGCGAGCTGGCAGCCCGCTGCTCGCTGAATGACGGGGCCAGAATTTCCAGGCCTGGCTAGGAAGAGACTGTGCCAGTCTCCCAAGGGGGATCAAATCAGGTGGGCCTTAACTGTGGGCGGCATCACCGTGAAACCTACAAGTTCCTTCCACTTTAGGGTAGGAGACAACTCAGCCTAGGGAGAGAGCCCCAGGGCAGGGCAAGGACTCACAGGTAATGTAGTAATCGTGGTGCTTCTTGAACTCCAGGCCCATGTAGTTGGGGCTGAACTCCTGGAACTTGATGGTGAAGCGGATTTCCTGCTCTGGCCGGTTGCACGTGACCAGAACGTTGGGGTCCAGCACGGTGCTACAGGCGGCTGCCTGCTCAGGCCGTACCAGGTATAGCTTATAGTACTCATAGGGCCGCCCTGCTTCTGCTCGGGGACAGATGATGTCCAGCTTGTCGCCAATCTTCGGGTAGATCACCAAGCCCTTCCCGCTCAGGAACCTGGCCAGGAGGGAGGAGATATTTAGCCTCTGTACCCAGGGCAAGGGGTGGGGTGGGGGGAAGATGGGTGGAGGGGGGTGAGGACAGGCCATCCCCATGGAGACCTTGAGAAGAGACCTTGTGCCTTTCTACCATGCTCAGGCTAGGGGTGGGGAAAGACAACCACACTGCCAGCAGGGTGTGGAAGGGGTGGCCCATGGGCAAGGCTTCCAGCCTTTGACTGCCTGGCAGGGTGGGGCACTCTGGCTGGGGGAGCCCTTTGTCCTAATGTGGCATTTCCGCAGGGGGTTGACGTGGCCAATGGGCTGGGTACCAAGGTGTCAGGCCCAGGCTGCCTGGAGGTGGCAGTCCTGTACCCCCGCCCTCCCCCCAAACGCATTCAAGATTCCTTCATGGCTGCTGCTACCCCCTCCCCTACACACACACATGCACGCACACACACGGATACAGAGCAAGCCCACACATGCCTTAGCCACCACCCCCGCAGCTCCCAGCCAAAGGCTAGGGGAGCTCTACCTGTCCGGGACCTGTGCCTTCTCCTTCGTCCTTGCTAATCTTGGGCACGATGGGGAGACAGGAACAGGCGTGGCCTGGAGCCAAGGGATGATGGCTATGGTCTCCGGCCAGGGGTCCTACTGATGACCCACCCCACCCCTATATTGCAAGAGGAGGAATTTCCCAACTTGACCAGTCTCACTCCTGAGGACACAGAGGGAGGGGGAAGGGGCTCCAGCAGGGACAACAGCATACAAGACAGGGCCCCAGAAACCCCCAGCTGTGCAAGAGGATAATGAAAAGTGCAAGTAAAAGATGAGTTCTTTTTGGTGCAATTTTTGTTTTCTGAAATCCTTGCACACTTTTCATCATGCACATTTTCCACAACCTTTTCAGAAGGCTCCTTGTATTCTAACCCCTCACCACCACACGGCCCCTACTCCAGATCCTAAGGAAGAACTGGACAGATGCCTTTGGAGCCAGGCTTATGTCCGAGTCCAGCAAGCCGCATGCTGGGGGGACGGCAGCGGAGGTCGGCTGCCCCGGGCCACCTATTCGCATGCCTCTACCCCTGCCTAAGCTCAAAGTCTAAGCTATGCTCTGTCAGCCATTTCTGATCTGGGCTGGTTGGAGCCGAGAGCAAGGCAGTGGCACTTTCAGAGAAGGAACACAGACTTTGAAAGAAGATTCTAGAGCTTGGTCCATACTAGCTCTTTCGCCTCAGATGGGCTGCCTGGGCTCACTGAGCTCCAGTTTCTGCATTAGGAATAAACGGGCAATGGTCAGAGGGGAAATGGGGCAGCACGTGGAGAGTCCCTTCTATCCAGCAGGGGCTCAAGACGTTCGACTCCTCCTTAAAAGCCATGGCAGGGGTCTGTTTTCTGGGAGGAGAAATAATGAGGGAAGAAGGAGTGCCCCACCGTCACGGATTTCACTGGCTGGTTTGCGCCAGGAAAGAAAAGGGCCCACTCTCCAGCGATAGACAGCTCCAGGCTCTCTGTAGGTCAGGTATAGGGGCAGGTGTTGAAACAGCCAGGGCTAGAGGGAAGGCGAGGAAGGAGATGGCCCCGTACCCGTACAAATGGCAGGGTGAAAGTGGGTGCTGGGTGAGGGACCAGAAGTGAACACACAGCACGAAAGGATGGCAGTGGCCAGGAATACACAGACAGGAGCAGAAGAAGGCATGGAGAAGACCGGGGCAGGGGGAGACCAGACTGAACGGCCTCAAGGCTCACGACAAGGGGAATGGGTTTCGTGCCATTGGCGACAGACCCTCTAGCAGGAAGAACAGAGTGTGGCGGCGTTTTCTTAAGCATGGCCTCTAGCTCCCTGCTATCCTTCCTGCTAGAGGGTCTGTCACCACTATAATCATCTGGGAAGAGATGCCCCTGGCAGGCAAGCAGGGCATTGACCAAGTAGGGGAAGACAAGCAGCCCTCCGTTCACATCCAAAGAGATTCCACCAAGCTGATGTGGGAGGGTGAAATCCAGAACACACTGGCCTTCCCTGGTTGGCACTTTACAGATCTACAAGGCCACAGAAACATGTTGGAGGGAATGCTCCCCCTGTCCACGCCCCCCCCCCATGTGCACCGCACAAAGCCAATACGTTTCACCAAGGTCTCTGATCACCAAGGTGTTTCTCCCTTTCCAAGTGTTCTGTCCAGCTGACAAAATTAGACAGCTTCTAACATCGTGGAGCCCAGGGGGACCTTCGGGACCAGGCCCCTCAGCTGAGGGACTGTAGGATCACACAGATGTTGCCATTGAGGAGAAGTTCTCAAAGACAACTCAAGGGGCCTAAACCCACCCAGGCTGGTTAATCCCGGGGGAAGGGGGGTGGTCTCAGAAGATCTAGAACAGCGGCTTGAATCCTTGTGTAGTTGCACCTCAACAAGAGGCATAAATGCAGCTACACAGAGAGCATGGACATGGGGATAGGCCAGCTCCCCCTTCCAATCACTTGGCCCAGGCTTACTCACCAGGCAACCTTGGCTGTCCAGAGTGTATCATCCCCCAGGGATTGGAACAGGGCTTCTAGCTACTTGGGGTTCTACCTTGGACCCAGAGACATTAAGGAAGCAGATGTCTACGTGGTGGGGGAGGGGTAAGAAGACTATGGCCCCCAACACCCTTAGCTTCTCTTCAACCTCAGTGACCAGGCTTCATACATATTCATGAGTTCATTTGCATAGCAGCTGGCAGAGGGAAACTCACCTTCCCCTAAAGTGCAAAAAGGAGAGGAGCCTTCCCTGACCTTGATCCTCTGTTACTGGGGCCTTCTGAGCATCTTCCCTAGCACCAAACAAACTTCATCTTGGCCTGGGGGAGCCCTTTCAAGAAAGGGTGAGGGACCACGAAGGGTGCGCACATAGCCAATGTGAGTGAAGCTCAAAGCTGGGTACATCATTGGGAATACTTTACAAGGGGGACCCCATGGGTCTCCTTGCTTACTGCCCAGGTTAGAAGTAGGGCTCGAAGGGGAGAGGAAAGAGATCAGGTCCCCTCAAGTAAAACTGTTTATGCTTACCTTTCAAAAACTACTACTTCTCTCCCCCACTACCCAATATCTAGCCAAGCCTCCCTGCCTGGGGCCACCCTCACACAAAGCCCTTTTCTGGAAAATAAGGGGATTGACATGGCCCAGCAGGACGCCTGAAGCAGGTCTCCATGGTAACTCCTGAGGCCTTCCCTCCCTAGCCTCTGATAGCCTTGGGACCCCAGGGAGCCACCCCAAGGAGCAAAAGGACTTGGGGGAGGCAGCCTGAGCTATTGCGGCTCCTGCCTTGTGGCCTGTGTCTTCCCCCTCCACCCTAGCCAAAAGCCCTCAGTCTTTTTGTGGCACTTAGAAGTCTGGCCCTGACTGCTAAAAAGAATCCTGGGATATGAAAAGTCAGAGGGGTCTGGAGACAGTAGCACCCAAAGCACTGGACTGGCCAGAATGCAACTGGCCACTCCTACCCCACACAAAAATCACAAGTTCTTTTGTCCAGATGAGCCCTTCGCCATCCAGATCCATGCCTTCTACATAGGAGAGCAGAGCTTAAAGCCGGGCCCATCATGCCCTGGGAGCTGCCTGCATCCCACCATGTCTACATTCCCTTCCCTTTGGCTCTAGAAAGTGGCCGGGTTCCAGACCATGCACCTCTGAGTTCGGAAGAAGACTTGAGAGCCACAGCCTTGATTTGGTGACTCCCACCGCCCCCTGTGCCTCCACACCTTCAACACTGGCAAGAACCAGGGAAGACAGACCCCAAGCCAGCACTCAAGTCTGCTCTCATCCCAGCTAGGGTGGGGAGCCCCCAAATTAAAGGCTCCTCTTTCACTCCCCCAGCTCCACCCAGCCCCTGAGGCAGCAGGAGCAGGCCTGGCGTGTCCCAGCAGTGCCCGCCCAGGCGTGGGTGGGCAGAAACAGCAGCTGGGTCCTGGCACACACACAGCTCTGTCGGAGGCACGGAAGCCATGAGAGTCCCAGAGGAAGTCACCCTCCCAACCTGTACTGAACTATGCCCTCCCCTCTGCCCCACCTGGCCAAAGCTAACATCCACTGTGCGGGGGGGGGGGGGGGGGGCTGGTTATCACCCCCTTCCCCGTTGTTTGCTTTCTGTGGAGTTCCTAAGAGGAAGAGCGAGTCCAGGCCCAGAAGGGACCAAAGGTACTCGTTCAGAGCTCAGGGCGGGGCGGAGAGAATACCAGGCAACAAGCTGGCTGTCTAGTTCAGTTCACCCGGCAGGCTGCTGGTCCTTGGAGCGAGGCCTCGCAAGGTGAAATGAGGAAGCCAGGGCACCGTTCAGCCCACACAGGCAGGGCCTGAGTCACAAGCACAGATGCACTGCACACCTGTGAGGTGAGCAGGGAACCAGGGGGCAAGGGGCCGGCACTTCTTCCCAGCCCCAGCTGGAATTCCCGCCTCTCCTCGAATTCCAAGTAAGCAGGCTGGTGTGGAAAGATGGCACACAGCACAGCTGTGCCTTCGAGAAGTCACTTCCCTTTTCCGAGCACATGCCGCCTTCGTCCGGAAAATGGGGCCAATGTCTCTGTCCCAGGGCGGCTGGGAGCATCCGATGAGCTCATACATGACAGTGCATTGTAAGTAGAAAGTGCTGCCCGACTCCCAGCGTGCGTGCCAAACACAGTGTCGTTTAGAAGTGAAAAGGTGAAGGAGCTCACACTCTTGGCTGCTAGCACCCTGACCCAAAAGAGCTACCACACCCAGGACGGGGCTGCTGTGGCCCACAGGGCAAGCAACCCAGCATGTGGCTGCTAAGCATCCCCTCCCCACCCCACCCCAGCCTGGTCCCCCAACAACCCAGGCCAGCTCCCCTAATCATCACAGGGTGGAACCTCCCCCAAACCTGGGGTTTCCATGGCAACCAGCAACCTCCTGGCTGGCCCACTCTCCTCCTAGCGCTAAGCACAGAAAACAGTGACACACACAGGAGTATCCAGGGCCCACCCATCCCCATTCACCTGCACTGATGAGGCACCAGGGAGCCTGAGGGAAGAAAGGGAACCCTCCATTCAGTCTCCACCCCAGCCTCACAGGCCCTTCTTGCCCTGGCCTGGCTGCCCTGGGTGGGGCAGGGTGGGGGTGGGGGAATGGGAAATACAAGGGAACAGGGAACTTGAGGAGTTGTTGGGTTCCCAGCACTCTCATGGCTCCCACCTGTGGCCAATCAGCCACAGGGTGGAAGGGTCAGGTCCCTCGCCACCCAGCAAAGAGGCCCTGGAGCTGGCCTCCCCAAGACTGTGAGCTAGAACAGCTGTGAGGGGCCTGTAAGCAGGCAAGCATGGGTTGGGGTCTGCAGCTGCCCCCACCCAGGCTGGAGTCAAGGGTCCTGGATGCCAAGCGGAACCTCTCCCCCCTTTTCCTCCCCCCCATCCGCCCCCTTGTAGGGAAGGTCTGTAATGTGAGCCCGGGCACATTCCCACTCCCTGGAGGTGGGGGAACCTGAGTGGGGGGCAGGAAGGGGTCACCACGGGACTGAGAGACTGAACTGTGGCAGCTGGACCTGGTGGAGGACTCAAGTGTGAGGCCTGCCGGCTGCCCTGGAGCTCCCCGGGGTGGGGAGGGTGGGGAGGGAGAGGCTGGGGGCGGGGGCCGCCCTGGGACCATTTCAATCACATACACACATACACACACACACACACACACACTGCTTCCCACTCAACTCTGGCAGGACCAAACCCAGGTCCCCATCTTTGTGCTCCTGGGGCAAATCTGACAGGAGAGACCATGGGGGCAGAAGCTTCTGCCACCCAGGGACTAGCACCTCGGAAGGCCCGGGCACCCATGCGGGGAAGAGGCTGGGAGTCTGGAGCCTGCCCTTCCAGTTCCCTCTCCCCAGGCAGGGCTGGGCTGTGCACACCCTAGAACCTGGAAGCAGAGCCCCCAGCCCCAGTACTCCCTTATTTTGATTTTTTTTTTCCCAAGGAGGAAGCAATTAAGTGGGGTTTATAGGCACTGGGAGATTTTTTTTTGGGGGGGGGGGTTTGCCAGCTCCTAATAGGGCTGAGGAGAGAGACCAAAAGCCAGGGAGGGGAAGGGGGAGGGAGGAGAGAAAACGAGCCTGCGAGGGAGAGCTCGGGCATGTGCGAGAAACAAAAGGACTTGAGAAAAAGAGGCAGAGAGTGACTAAGAGTGAGAGGGAGTGCGAGAGAGAGACGGAGAGCGGGCGAGCCTAGCTGGAGAAGGGGAGCTGAACACTGCTCGCCAAGGCTGCCGGGGGGAACGGACGGACCGGGTCCCAGAGAGCGAGAGACACACAGAGAAGCTGTTTATTTGAAAGGCTGTGGCGGCCCGAGGGTTGGGCGCGGTGGCAGAGCAGCCCCCCCACCCACCCAGAGCTCGAGGAGAGCTGAGGGCACTGCCTCCCTCCTGCCCTCCTGCTCGCAACCCCCCCCCACCCCGCGCCAACACACACAGACGGCTGCATTCCAGACCCCTGAGCAGAGATAGAAAAACTGGGGGGGGGGGGGTGGCAAGCGGGGAAGAGGTGAGAGTGCACCAGGATCCCTCTCCAACCATCCTGAGGATCTGCTCCATTGCACAATGGCATTTGGACCGGTTCTGCTGAGTCTTCAGCCACCCCCCACCCCAGCCCAACCTAGGACGCCCGCCTTCAACTCGGGGTCCATGGGGAAAAGGGGTGGAGGTAGAAGGATGCAACCTCCCAAACCCGTAAAGGGGTCCAGAGGACTCCAGGCTCAAAATACAAAAAGGGGGAGTCTCAGAACAGATCTTGTTTCTCTTCAGTTTTCCCCCTCACCCCTGCAGGAGTGCTCCCTTCCAGCTGTGGAGCTGCCTGCTATCTCTGCTTAGAGACCTGAGAGAGCAATTAGGTCACTCCCATGAGCCCCTGTGAAGGGCTACCCCAGGCGGATTGTAGCTCTCTGGGCTCCAGAGAAAGCGTGGTAGCAGCCACCGTCACAGCAGGAGGAAGTGCACACTTCACAACCTTGCTTTCCCCTGGGCTTCCCTGGGGTCCCCAGACCATTCTGAGCCCCTGCTGCACCCAGTTTGCCTTCTGGGTGAGGACAGGATTCTTGCCCATTCCCTTTCGTTGTGCTGAAGCACAGAGCTCCACCCTGACCCTCGTTTAGCCATCCTCCCGATCAGTAATAGGACCCTACCTTTATCCAAGGAGAAGCAAACTAAAGAAACTGCCTGCTCCTACACCACGGCTGAGAAATACACTGCCCCTGGGGACCCAAGACACTAAGGTGGTCGGTCGGGAGCCTGGGAAGTTAGTGGAGAGCCCAGGAAGAGTGGACGGGAAGAGATCAAAGATCCAGGAATCAGGGAGCGTGGATGGAGCAGGTCAAGACCCCCCCCAACTCCAGTTTCCTGCTAAGTGGATCTGTCTGCACACTAACAGGACCTCCAGAAAACCGGGCAGAAGAGCGATTTTGAACCTGAGTTCCAACCCTAGTCGTGGATGCCAAGAGAGAAAAAGGTGCAGAGGTCACCGCAACAGCCCCTGAAACTCCCCATGAACAGCCCAGAAACCACTGGGTCACCGCCTGAAAGGTGTGTGTGTGTGTGTGTTGTTGGGGAGGGGGGTGCAGGCAAATGGGGAGTGGGTAGAGTTATGAAGTGGAAGGAGAAGAAAAGAAAGGATTTCCTTTATATAACTGCCCCCCCAAACCCTTGGGGAAAGCTAAGCACAGCTCCCCAATCTTGGAGACAGTGTGTGTGTGTGTGTGTGTGTGAGTGTGAGTGTGTGTGTGTTGGGGGGAGGGTAATGGGACCTGCCTGGACAGGAATCGCTTCTTCCCCACCCACCTCCCTCGCCCGCTCTGCCGCCACTCTCTGCTGCCGGCTCCATTGGACCCCCGACCGGCGCTGGATCGAACCCACCCCCCCACACACACAACCCCTCTTCCACTCCGCCCCTCTCCACCCGCCGCCTTTGTGAGCCTGGGAGCGGCGCCCGCCTTTCTACCGCCCCGGCAGGGAGAAAGGGGAGTGGGGAGGAGGGGGGGGGAGCAAGAAGAGACGGTAGAGCGAAAAGCCAGGAGGCAAACAGGGAAGAAAGAGAAATGAAAATGGGAGAAGCCCGAGCGGGGATGAAGGCACTGCCAAGCCGCCCAGAGCGCCGGGTCCCGCGCCGCGCTGCCCCCACACCTAAGCCAACGCGGAACCTGTGTTCCGGCCTCGGCCCCCGCCTCGGCTCTGTGAATGGCTCTCGGCGAAAAACCACTACATTCCCAGGGGCCCCGGAGAGGGTTGCGTTCGTTCTCGCCCCCACCCAGTTCTCGGAGCCCAGGCTCACGCAGCTCCGCCTGCTGCGACCATCTCCACTCGATCCGGGCCGTGAGGAGGTAAGGACTGGGGTGGGGTGGGGGAGGGAGACGAGGTTGGGTCAAAACCCAGCCGAGAGCCCCCAGCCCACCTCGCCGCAGCCTGCCCCGCCCGCCCGCAGGAAAACACACTTGGAAAAAGCCGGAGATAAAAAGGGGGCGCCGCTCCTCCTCCCGACACCTCCCCACACGCACTTGGAGGCGCGCGGCCTCACCCCGAAGGAGTGCCTCCCACCCCTAGGGACCACAGCAGATAAGTTACTCACTTAGGGTTGAGGGAGCTCCAGGACACGGGCTCCAGGTTCTTGGCCAGCGGCGTGGCGAGCCGGCACAGCGCCAATACGACCATCGCCACAAGCCACTTGCCGAGCCAACGCTGCCCAGGCCGGGCCATCTTCCTGGGGGCAGGCTGCACTTCGGACTCCGCAGGCGCCTGCTTAGCAACGCTCGCCTCGCCTTCCCGGGCCGCGCTGCGCTCCGCACCGCTCAGGCGCCCATCCTCTGCAGCCGCCGGCCTTGAAGTGCTCCCCTCCCGCCGGCTTCGGCGTCGCTCTTCTCCTCCCCGCCGGCCAGGAGGACTCACTGGGCAGCCGTCCCCAACCCGGGCATGGGCTGCGGCCTCTGAGGGCTGGCTCTGTTGGCCTCTCGGCCGCACGAGGCGCGACGGGGGCTCTGCGCCCCCGGGTGATCCCGCCCGACTCCACTCGGCTCCCCAAGACTGTTCGGGACTGTGCGCCCTCTCTCCGACAGCGTCTCCCCGCCGAGGACTCGGTAGCCGCTGCGATGCCTCGATCGTCCTGGGATCGGTGCACCAAGGAAGAAAGGGGGGTCTCCCCACAACACGAGCTCGGTCCCCAGGCTCCCGACCGGGTCGCCCTGGCACGGGCTCCGTTCCTCCGGGCCACACTGGGACTCCGGGCTGCGCGCCCCTCGACAGCTTCTACTTGAGCGCGGGCCCCCGCTCAGTGTACTTAGAAGAGCGGCGAGACGCTGCCGAGTGAGCCAGTCCCATCAGTCTGCGCCTCTGAAGCGTCGGCTGGGTAGCCCAGCAGCCCGGTCGCCCAGTCCTTGCTCCCCGGCCGTTGCGCCCGAGGGTCTGCGGCCGGTGCGAGCCTCACACACCTCCCACTGCTGTCCAGCGCGCATAGACTCCCTCCGCCGCCGCCGAGCTGTCTACTCCCCTGCTCAGGCGAACGCAAGGCCAACCCTGCTTCTTCTAGCCAATAGGAAGCTCCGTGGCGGGGTCCTTGCCCCAGGCCACGCCCCTCGAGCAGGAAGGGGGCGGGGCTTGAGGGCGCTCTTAAGGATGCCGCGCTGCCGATGGCACCAATCTGAGTGTGCGGCTCGGCTCGTGCGGTTAGGGTTGGGTACCGCTCAGTCTTGTTCCCAGAGCGCTCAGCCCGTGGGAAGTTGGCGCTTCACTAGAGTTGCCGGCCTGCTCTCTTGCCTGCGCGTCTACTCGGCACTCCCAGTCTACTGACCTGAGCCTCCCAGGCCTTGTCCCAAGTACCGGGAAAACAGTGCTTCCCACTCTTCTTTTTACACACACGAGCCCCGAATTCCTGCTGTATGCCCACCTCTGTGGCAACGACAGGCCGTCTGCTCCCCGTCCCGTCACCACGGGGCTCGCGGCTGGGTTTTCCTCCTCCTGCCCTCCAAATGCCTTGCACTGTCGCTTGCACTTGGAGCCAGAGTCCAGAGCACACAAGTGGATTGCGGTGGGTGGTGGCGACTTGGGAGGTTCAAGGACAGGATCCGAAGGGAAAGGCCAGTTCTTCAAGCTGAGGGAACCTCAGCTTTGAGGGAGAGCTGATGGAGCCCCTGGAGCCCAAATTTACAGTTCTTTCCCTTCCGAAGACCTGGGCAAGGCCCTGGGATAGGCGCACGGGAATCAGTGCGCACCATGATCAAAGAAGACACCTGGAGGGCGAAAAGGAAAAGGCGCTAGGTAGGAGGCTTTTGAAAAAGCAAAGGGCCGATATCCTAGCCCGCGGATGCAGGACTCCAGTCTCTCTCGGCCCCCGCCATCAGGGTCTTTGTCTCCCATCTCCGGCCCTTTCTCCCCGCCCCTCCTTGCCTCTTTGCTTATAACTTGGCTCAATCCCATAGCTCAGACCCTCCCGGTCCGACCCACTCCTAAATCGGACCGCAGCACGCCTACTCGTGTGCTAATGTCTCCCCCTGCTGCTATGCCGTCACATTGCGGGCGCCTGGGCCAAATGGTGAGCTCCTACCCGCCCCCCCCCAGGCTCTGGAACGCCAGACCTGGGACAGGCGTGGCCTTGACAAGAAACCGCCGCCCGGTATGCAAACGAAGGCACAGAGCTAGGAGAAATATCTGGGTTTGGGGGTGGCTTTGAGGCTGCCGAGGCAGCTATTAAGTCATCCCTGGGGAGGATTAGGTGAGCAACATTCCCGAAGTGTTCTGCCATTTATATGTTGTCTCATGTCTGTGATCTCACTTCATAGGAGACCGAGGTACCCGATCTTCTAACGATCTCGGTAGCCGTAGGGGACAATGGCAGGGGAAAAGCCTCCACAGACAGCGCCTTAAGGGTGAGATGATTCTGGATAGGCAGGAAAGGGCAGACTAGGATCTCCCAGCTCCCACTGCAACCTTGCATTGGGATGTAAGCAAAAAAAAAAAAAAAAGAAAAAAGAGGAGCCGAACAAGGGGCAAGGACCCACCACCGGTCTAACTAGGACATAAAAAACCTGAAGAGAGAAACGACACTTCTGTTTACTGAGTGCCTATTGTTGTGCCAAGAGCCACACTGGGTGCTCTCCCTTTCCTAAAACTTTGACATGAGTTCTGCTGTCTTCCCATTTTACCTGCCAGGAAGACTGAGGCTCAGGGAGAAGTGACTCATCTGAGATCACTGAGCTGATCCGTGGTGGAAGCAGGATCTGACTTCTGATGTATGAGAGCACTCGAGAAAGGTCGTAGAGAAATGGAATTAAAGAGAGGTTTATGGGGCCAGCGTTGTGGTGTGGTGAGTGAGGCCTCCACCTGCGAGACCAGTGTCCCACAGGAGCACGGCTTTGTGTCCCAGCTGCTCCGCTTCCAATGCAGCTCCCCTGCTAATGCGCCTGGGAGGGCACAGATGCTTGAGCCCCTGCCATCCATGTGGAAAACCTGGATGATGTTCCTGGCTCCTGGCTTCAGCCTGGCCCTGCCCCAGCTGTTGCAGTCATCTACAGAGTAAATCAGTGGATGGAAGATCTCTCTCTCTCTGTAACTCTAACTTTCAAATACAAAAATAAATCTTGAAAAAAAGAGAGTGGTTTCTTTTGTTGCAAAAAGTTTTTTTAAATCCAAGCATAGTCTTTTTTATAATGCACATTTTTCCATAAACTATAAAAAAAAAGTTTGATTTGCTGATGTATTCGAAAGAGCAACAGAGAGGGGAAGGGAGGGAGGGAGGGAGGGAGAGAAAGAGAGAGAGAGAGACTGTATCTACTGGTTCACTCCTTAAATGGCCACAACCTCTGGGGCTGGGCCAGGCTGAAGCCAGGAGCCAGGAACTCCATGTGAGTGGCAGAGACCCAAGCACTTGGGCCATCCTCCACTGCCCTCCCGGGCGCATTAGCAGGAAGTCGGATTGGAAGTGGAGGGGCTAGGACTCCGCATGGGATGCTGGCTTCCCAAACGATAGCTCAACCTGCTACACCAAGGGACATTCAAGGCCCTTTTATGACTGGATGGGGAGGATGGGGGTGGGGGTGGGGGGAGATATGAAGCCAGGAAGCCAGACCTGGGAAACAAAGGGAGACAGGAGCAGTTCCTGAGCGTGCCAGCACCTAATCCTGGGCAGGGACCGTGGTGGGGCAAGTGAGGAGGAATTCTGTGCCAGGGCCTGCTGCACACACTGATCGCCCCTGCCCACAGCACAGCCTTTCTGCCCCAACCTGCCCTTGCCAAGCACAGGAGTCCCAGGAACAAGACTGAGCCTAGTTCTTGCTACAACCAACGACCAGCGAGTGACTCCAAGTTCCTGCATCTTGATCCTGTGTGGATCCGGCTCAGGAGGGAAATGGACTCCTACTAGCAGTCACCACTCCCCCCACCCTCACCAAGCCTTTCACAGTGGCAGCCATAGCTTGGAGCAGTCAAGTGCATCCCGAGAGGAGCCCCAGCCAGCGCTGCCCACGAGGAATGCCAAGCACCAAAGAAATCAGCATAGAGGAGGCGCCTGCGCCAAGGGATACAGAACAGCTGGCAATGGCAGGAAGCCTCGGGCGGGGTGCAGCCTCCAGAGCTCAGCTTGGCACACCCGCGGGAGGCAGGGTGGTAGGAACTGTGGCGGCATGCATTTCGCTGGGGGCGGGGGGGGGTACCTCCGTCTCTTTGGGCGGAGTCACGTCCCCTGCGTTTGTTCCAGTGATAGTCCCTCCTGCCCAGAGCCATGGCGAGGGGTGAATGAGAGAATGCACAAAAAAGGACTTAGCAGCATGCCTGGCCCCACTGCGGGGCTTACGGAATGGAAATTCTTATTCTTCCCGGGGCCTCCCACACAGACACCCTCACTCCCCTCGCACAGGCAGGCTTTGTGTGCCATACGCACCAACTTCCATTCTTTCTCCCTCATTCACTCAAGCAGCACCTGGTGTCAGGCCTGGGTCCTGGCCTCATGTTCACTGTCATCCTTGTCCTGGACCTCTCCCTTCCTGCTCGGCACTCAGAGACACAGAGAGGTGAGGTAACTCACTCAAGGTCACACAGCAAGGAAGTAGTCATGTCAGGTACAGCCAGAGCCAACACTCAAAGAGCCCGAATCCTAACCCCTCTCCTCTCCACTGGCTGTCATCTCTGGCTCCTCCCCCTGTCTCCTGTCTGTCCCCTAGGAGAGACAGGCTGTCTCTGCCCGCACCCTCCTCAGGGATATACACACAGGGCCAGGGAGCGCTACCACTTCTCAAGCACCCCTAGCTGCCACTAGTGCTGGGTACTGTCACCTGCTGCTGTAGGTATCTTTGTTTCATTCTCAACATACCCCTGAGGTTACTGTTTATAGACTGGTTTCAGAGATGACAAAGCGGAAGCTCCAGGCTCAGGCTGGCTTCGTGCCCTGTCCCCGCCAACCTCCGCCTGCAAAACTCTCTCTGCTTGGCCAACTAAATCCCCTCCCCTGCACACCCCTCCCCCCACTCTCCTGCTCTTTCCTCTGCCCAGCTGGGGTTCATGTTGCGCTCAGGCTGCCCTCCCTTCACCACGAACACCTTGCTTTGCCCAAGTCACTCCATCTCTGGGTCAGCCACAGGGCAAACCCAGGGTGGGGCCTAGCCCTCCCACTCTTCCTCCTTCCCTCTCCTGGCTGCACACCCCCTCTCCCCCGGGGGGGGGTGGACTAATTCAAAACTACCCCAGGTGGGTAAGCTCCGGAAGTCTGGCTTTGCTACAGCCATGATAATCCCCAGGAGCTGAGGACAGAGAGGGAGTGGTCCCACCGGCCAAAGGTTCAGCCAGCCCCTCCCCCTGCCCGCCCCAGCTGCAAGCCTGGTTTATGGATGTTTGCACAGAGATCTCCTCTACCTGCCAGGTGCCGCCCTGACTCCTGCATCAGGTTGATGGCAGGATGACACCAGGGATGGGAGGAGCCCCCTCTGTCCCTCCCTCTCTCTTTATCCTCTCCTTGTTGCTATGTACCCCTACCCTGGTCTCCTGGACACCTGTCTCCAACTCTCAGACCCCACACATGCCTGCCTCTGCCCGTGCCCAGAGCCTGGAGCAGGGCACGTGACAAACGGAGCAGGGCTCAGTGTGCCTAGCAGGTGGATAGCACTCTAAACTGCAGTTGGGACCCTGTGTTCTGTGGTCTCGGCTGGGCTTCCTCTGGCGGCCCCCCCTCCACGCCCATCCTCTGTGCTCTCTGGTGCAGCAGGAGGCAGCCCCAGTCTGGGGTGGGTGGGGGAAGCATGCAGCACCCGGGGCCCAGCCCACCTGTTGCTCCCTCACTCTGGTTACCTGCGGAATGCACAAGGAGGGGCCGGCCATTCGTCACTGTCAGGGGCTCAGGAATTCTGCGGAGGGGAGAAGCAGCTGTCCCCACCTGTCACCGGCTCCAGCCCAGCTCCCCTATCTCAAGTAGGCTTGCGAGAGAGGGGAACGCCAGCCCCGTCCCACGGCTGGCTCTGTAGGGAACATGCTGAACGCACCAGGGAATGAAGTCCCCGTGGAGGAGCA